TTTTATCGAATTAAAAACATCAATCTTGACCAATCCAGGTGATTCCTAAATGAAAGACTCTTATGAGTCAGTTCTTTATAGTGAATCAAAAACATACAGCATGATCAATGTAGAGTGATTCCTAAACGAAAGATTCTTATGAGCCAGTTCTTTTTAATGAATCAAAAACATGCGACATAATAACTAGCCAGTTCTTTTTAGTGAATTAGAAAACACTGAATCTGAATCATGAACAAACGACTTTTATGAACCAGTTCTTTTCAATGTTTGTTTATTTTAATGTTCTCACTCTGTAGGAAACATTGGGTTGTGGCATCCACCAGCAGGGTAAAACCGGGTCATGCTAATCAGCCAAACCTCGACTCATTTTGCAAATCATTTAGAAATGATTGTTTTGGGACAGTTCTTTTAATGAATCATTCAAAAAGACTGACTCATGTGTTATAGATGAATCAGTCTTAACAAATTATTCCATCAGAGTGGGCGTAGGTTTTTCCTCCTGCTAAGTAAATAAATTATGTAGAAAATATTGATGGGTAGCAGATTTTAGAACCAACGTTTAATGATGTAGCAAAAACCAGCAAGCTCTTGTCAGTAGTCTTGAAAATGCTAGTTTTGTTGAAATCCAATTTGGTGAATCAGAGGTAGAGTTAGAGAGAGAGAAAATGCTGACTCTTGAGAACACTGAGTTCTGAATGAGAAAATGATTTGTGAAAAAAAAGAGAGAAGGTGAGGGCCAAATATGGAAGTCCCTGAGTAAAGGTTGCAGTCCTTTTTGTCTGGTCTCCTCTGTTCCGGCAGGATCAGAGAAATATCAGAGAGAGAGGGGAAAGGATGGATGGAAGCTTTAGAAGAGATTATTTTAAGTTTCTTGACCGCAGGAGATGGAGGAGGTTTGGAGGCCAAGGTTGCTTGAACAGAATGTGCTTTTATTGTTGTTTGTGTTGGTTCTGAGAGTAATTTTACAAGACATGGTATTAAATGTGAGGAAGAGAACAAATTATCACCAGATGCTGCTGAGGTCTACAGATCATTCCTCAAGTCTTTCAGCCTGTATGTCCACTCTTCAAGAGATATTGTGTTAAGAAGAGTTAAAAGTGTAAAATTTTTAATAATTTCTCCTGTGCATCCTAATGTTGCAAGTACACCATTTTTGAATCCCTGAAAAGTGTGACATCTATGACTCTTGTGCTATAATTGCTCTATTTGAGCAGCGTGAATAGTCCGGACATGGCAACTTTGGTTCAACCGGTAACACTTTAGTATAGGGACCAATTCTCACTATTAAATAGTTGCTTATTAGCATGCCTATTATTAACATATTGGCTGTTTATTAGTACTTATAAAGCACATATGTGACCCTGGACCACAAAACCAGTCTTAAGTCACTGGGGTATATTTGTAGCAATAGCCAAAAAAACATTGTATGGGTCAAAATTATCAATTTTTCTTTTATGCCAAAAATCATTAGGATATTAAGTAAAGATCATGTTCCATGAAGATATTTTGTAAATTTCCTACTGTAAATATATCAAAACTTCATTTTTGATTAGTAATATGCATTGCTAAGAGCTTAATTTGAACAACTTTAAAGGTGATTTTCTCAATATTTAGATTTTTTTGCACCCTCAGATTCCAGATATTCAAATAGTTGTATCTCGGCCAAATATTGTCCTATCCTAACAAACGATACACAAATGGAGAGCTTATTTATTCAGCTTTAAGATGATATATAAATCTCAATTTCAAAAAATGGACCCTTATGACTGGTTTCTGCATGACCATATTTTACATCCCTAATCCTACCCAATACTTAAACTTAACAACTACCTTATTAAATATTAATAAGCAGTCAATTTGGAGTTTATTGAGGCAAAAGTTGTAGTTAATGGTGAGAATTGGACCTTAAAATAAAGTGTGTCTTCTCAACCAATAGTGCGAGTTTGAGGACAGAACTATCGTTTTTTTTGACCAATGGCAGACAGGAGGAGTGTACAGGAAGCCTGTTTGATACCAGTTAAACCTGCAGTTCACCTAAAAAAAATTAATAAAAATAAAACATTTGCTGAAAATGTATGTACTGTCAGGCTATCCAAGATGTAGATGAGTTTGTTTCGTCATCTGAAAAGATTAGGAGAAATTTAGCATTTTTGCTCATCAGTGAATCCTCTGCAGCAAATGGGTGCCATCAAAATGTGAGTCGAAACAGCAGATAAAAACATCACAATAATCTTATTCCTCCTTTAATATTTTTGTACATTATTTTATGACATTAGTGGTGACACTAAGTTTAATGCTCTATCACTCTATCACCATTAATGCCATTAGTGGCACACTTCATCTTTAATATCTGTTTGATGAGCCCTGCATTCTACATACTGGTATTTGACAGGGAAATATCATGGGAAACTGTTTTTTGCAAATCATATCTGTTGGGACTTTTACTGTGCAGTCGTTGCAATATTTACAAATATTTAGATGCAAGTTGGAATGAAAAATTCTGAATCTGAACAGGATCAGAACTTTGTACAGCCCCCATGTGACTTCCTGTTCGAAATGAATGATGGTTTGTCATCTGTTGTTTGTTTTAAACCATAAAATTCTGGCTTATATGTGAGAGAGGTAAAAATGCTGACTGTTTTGTTGCAGGAATTGTTGATTATAAGTGCATTTCACTGAAAAAAGAACATAGTCCCTGTAAAAGATGGTTTACATTACTAAAATGATTGTGTAATCTTTTAAAGTTCAGTTTGACTATTTTTTTCTGGGATGTTTTTGACAAGTTGTTTCAAAGAGACTTGTTTAACTTAATTGTTTTGTTCTTTATAATCTGGATCTTGAGGTGTACAGGTGTGCCAGAGGTCTTTTCTCCCTAGAGGTGGCTTTGATTTACATCTGAGTAAAGCCAGTTTAAAGTTCTGACACATTGGTTGAAAAGTAAGATGGCTGGCTTTGGTTCATGCGGTTCTTGTCTTTGCTCCACATGATTTGTTGAGGCCCACAACAGAAACATAGGCCTGATGTAAATCACAGTGGTGTGGTCCTGTCAAACCCAACACAAAACCCTGTCGTTACTGTCTATGAAAACAAGTTCTGGAAATGTGCCGGCCAATTATAAAGCCAAACCGGAAGAAAAATTCCTCTCTGGCACATAAACGCAAGACTTCAGTTGAAATACTTGAGAATATTTATAAAAAGGGTGGATATGGTGCTCCTGTATGGAGTATTGTATTTCTGTAATTATTAGCAATGAAACCTGTTAGCAGTTTAATCTCTTCCTGTCTTAGCGATTGGGGATTTAGAGAATTAAACTAGTAGAACTTATTTTCTCCATACCGGGACCAGAATTCAATCAATAAGTTGGAAAGTAACTATTTTTAGGCTTACATGTTATGTGTCCACTATATATTATACATTTGATTCAGTTAATGCAAAGTACCATTGGCAGTTGTGGCAAAACATTTTCGTACCTTCCTTACATACGGTGTAGATGACATTACTTTGGTATTATATTTGCTAGTCAATAGACTAGTATTCCTTCTCACATGCGCATAATAATGTACGCATACAAAAGCTGGCATTGACATAAATACAGAGAGAGAGAGAGAGAGAGAGAGAGAGAGAGTCTGACATTCACAAACACACACCCAGCAGTAGGCATGATTAAAGTGGACTCTCAGGCTGCCAATATTGAGGTTGGAATGTTAATGAGAGTTCTCTATGGGGACACATTGAGAAAGAAAAATGGAGAGAGCGCATAGTATGTTGTGAGCTTCGGCCTGTGGTTTCAGTATACAGCTCCTCAGAGCCATCGATAAAGAGATAATCAAGGATACTAGAGAGAGAGAGAGAGAGATGCATGCCCGTTATTTCATATAGGTGCTGAGTCAGAGGCTGAGTCTGTCTTTAGCTACTGCACTAATGCACACAGGCATTACTCTGCTCAACCCTGCCACACGCTGGCAGACTGAAGCACTGCTTTTTTAACAGCAAACACAACAAGCACAGTTCTTTTCCTGGGCTCCAAAGTGCTTGAGTTATGGAGTAGGGATGGGCGATACCACTTGTTTTGTTTTCGATACGATACCGATATTTTTCAAGGCCAGTATCGTCGATATCGATACCGATACGATACTTCTAATCTGAAGTTTTAAATTATGACATTTATGAAATTATTAAATTACTAAGATTAAAATGGGTAATGATAACCACTTAACTTTATATTTGAAACACATTTTAACATTGCAACTTATTAAGTTATATTTTTGTTTACACATGGTTCAAATATGTTTACTGTAGTCGTAACCATGGGCACTTTAGTAAAACCATGGTTCATTTTCATAAGGGACTACAGTGACGGGCTGTTGCATGCATAAAATGCAACCTTTTTATTTTGACAGTGTATGATTTATATTAACATTACAGAATAGAACATGATCAATATTATTAAATAAATGTAATTGCACAAACTATGTAGGCTACAATTTCAATTTGTTTATTGTGAAATAACTCAAACATATATGTTTTTCTGTCCTCTGATAAGCATTGTTCTGGGCTGCCGTTCCCAAAAGCATCAATGCTTTCTTATGATATTTTGGGAAACGCAGCCCTGTTTGAATGCACTGTCAGAAGTGAGTAAACGTCCACCGTGATTGATTGATTCTGTCTTGCAACATCTGCATGTGTTCAGATGAGCAGGAAAATATCCTACACAATTATGCACTAACATGGGGTATTCGTCCAATTCAATGCATATTGTATGCATTAATTTATTGTTAAAATCACTGGTAAATAAAACACACCTTAGTATCGATATTTTCGATACTCGTGTCAGTATCGATATATCGATACGTCAGGATCGATACGCCCATCCCTATTATGGAGCATATGTCCCCTTAATATATTAAAATAGCCCAAAGGCTCCATCTAAACTTGCAAATGTTAGAAAGTAAAGCACATGAAGATCAACTCAAATCTCTTTTCCCTGTTTTCTCCTGCAGAAAAGCTCTACAATTCGACCGGACGTGAGCTGCGAAGAGCGCTGTTCTCTCTCAAGCAAATCTTTCAGGTAAGCTTTCTCACTGGTGTTGGGTCGTTCTTGAGCGATTCGTTCATTTTGAACATATCTTTAATGTGACTTGGGAAGAACGAGTCGTCTCGGGGAGTGATTCGTTCAGTCGCGCATGCGCAACATCATATAGGTTCTGTACTGGAATTAGTCAAGTATTTCACCTAGTTCGAGTCTTTTGGTTTTTCCGAGTCATTCGTTCATCACGTGACAGCCCCATAAGTTTAACCAATGCAGTCTGAGCCGGAAAGAGAATTGATTAGTTTATCTCTGGAGTCTTCGGTTTTGAGTCGTTCATTCATCACGTGACAGCCCCATAAGCCCAAACCCGAAGACTTGTCAGATAAGAGGTGAGGTGAGCTAATCATAGACTGAAAACCCAGGTAAACAATGAATTAATCTTTTCTGTTTCTTATAGCAGTTTTGTATTGTTTGTAGTGTGATCAACGTTTGCGTAAGTAGTAGACATATTAGGGAAGTAACACGTAACATTTTAATTATATTTTGCTAAAATGAACGAAAAAAAAGATTTGTTCATTTTGCTGAACGAGACTCAAAGGTCCGAGTCGGTAAAATGATCCAAACTTCCCATCACTATTTCCCACTAAGACTTAGCGTTAGCGCAGAGCACCTGCTAATGTCTTATTGTCAGCAGCACATGTGTGTGAGTGTGTAACTGTGTTTTCATGCGTGTTTCAGCTGTACGGATATACTGGAATTTCTCTCACTGCACAGAAATTGCCAGATACCAAAGCTGGAGTCTCCATCATTGATTGATTTTAAAGCTGTGCTGGAAGCTACTGTTTTTCCTCTAGAGAAAGCATGTCTGACCACTGCATTGTGTGTGTGTGTATGAGCTTTAGCATTTTTAATGGCAAAAGCACCTGAAACTTTCACACCTGTCAACAAGTGTGTAATTTAAACCTGCCAGAGGCTTTGCATAAACACACACAAATACTCTGTAGTAGAAACAAACGCAAACATACATGCTAGCTTTGTGAAAGCATATATACAGAAATGTTGCCAGGCTACAAACGACTCATAATTCATAGTTAAACAACAGTGTAGCTTACCTTTTTACGCTAAAAACAAATTAGCTACAATACAAAATGCTAACAAAAAATAGCTAACTACATATGAAGCTAGATAAGAGCAAACTATATGATTTAGAATTTAATTGGTGCTGGTACAAAATTTATACTTTGAATGAATTAATTGTGCAATAACGTTAAATCTAAACAGAATTAGCTAATATATGCAACTGAACAATTATTACATGCACACTATTTGTCTTAATAAATGGAGTCAGAAACTATAGGAGCCTGTTTTTCTCCTTCAAAGTAAAACATAATAATAATAGTAATAAAGGTAATTGTAAAAGCCTAAAAGAGTAAAAGGCTCACCAGCATGGAGTAAAAGGCACACGGTATTGATACAAATACTTCAGCTAAAATAATGTTTTTTAAATAATGTCTAAGTTAATACTTGTTCAAAACAATCACTTTAGCAGAGTTTGTACTATTTTCTGCTTATTTTGAAAAATAAAATAATTATTTTTTTTCAATAAATATAGTCATTAAAATATGTTAATATAAAAAATATATTTTAAAATACAAAAAAAAAATCGTTTTAATAAGTAAAGATTCTGAAAGTATTGAAGGAGATCCAATGATAATTGAATATATATTTACAGTAGTAACAACAAATTATATTTTATTATTTGAAATGATTAATATCATGTTTTTAAATATGATGGCTTCATTCTAAATATGGTGATATCTCTAATATGGACACCCAACATAATATATGATATTTACCATATGAATCTAACCATGTCATGTCAAGAAATGGAAAAGTCAGCCATCTATTAATTATCATGTTAATTACTGTGCGCCTTTAGCCCCAACAGCAGGGGCGCTTTTTACCCCAAATACCATACTTTTACATATTTTTTTGTTATTTAAAAACTGTTGGTTTAATTATCTTAAACAAACTGAAAATCATAAAGAAGACCTTTGTCTCAAAATATATGCATTCATTTTAATGATTCTCATTTACTACTTAAAGGGTTAGTTCACCCAAAAATGAAAATTAGCCCATAAATTACTCACCCTCAAGTCATCCTAGGTGTATATGACTTTCTTCTTTCAGACGAATCCAGTCAGAGTTATATAAAAAATTGTCTTTGATCTTTTAAGCTGTTTCATGGCACTCAGCGGGTGTTGCATGCTTCAGTCCAAAACAAGTTAAATAAAAAGCGCCCATCCATAAAACAATTTGTCTCACAAAGGCCTCCTGTAGCGAATCAATGCGTTTTTGTAAGAAAAATATTCATATCCAAAACGTAATAATCACTTTAATGTAGCTTGCACTCACTGTTGTACAAGGAGTTCTGGGGGAATGATGTATGAGGTCGGCTTTGCGCATGCGCTGCTCAGAAGTGACGCAGGCGGAAACGCAGCGGAGAGATCAAAACAAAACGACGGTCACTAATTAAAAGTACAAAACGAGGATTTGTAAAGAAGAATGTCGGAGGATTTCGATATAAGCCAAGAGGAGACTGGTTTTCCTTTGCTAAAATAAGGAAACTTTGCTTCCTTTGCTCCTGTTAGCAAATGTTGGTTTTCACGAGACTCACCAACGCATGCGCAGCGCTGACCTCAGAGGTCATCCGCCCGGAACTGCTTCCGTTTACAACAGTGAGCGCAAGCTACATTAAAGTGATTATTACGTTTTGAATATGGATATTTTTCTTACAAAAACGCATCGATTCGCTATAGGAGGCCTTTGTTCACCCCCCGGAGCCGTGTGAGACACTTTTTTTTTCATGGATGGACGCTTTTTATTTTATCATCATTTTTTTTTTTTCAATGAGCTTGGGTTTATTGTAAAACGCTATAAATTAAAAAGGTGAGATACATAGTTGCAATCTTTAGATTATGAGTAATATAAAGTCACAATAATGAGAAACAAAGTAAAAAACTGACAGTGTCAAACTGTTAAATACAAAGTTGCAATTGTTAGCTATAAAGCTGCGATAGTTAGATTTAAAGTCATAATTATGGGACATAAAGTCACACTTAGTGGAAACAAAGTCACAGTTGTGAGATATGTTGAATTTGTGAAATATACAGTCAAATTGTAAGGTAAGTGTAAGTCACACTTACAAAAAGGCACAATTACAAGAAAGTTAAAAATGCTTGAGACATAATAAAGTCAGTTTGTGAGATATATAGTTGCAGGTGTGGGAATTAAAATCACAACTCTGATACAAAAACGTATATATATATATTTAAATTAGCAGTGTTGCGCAGCTATTGTTGGAAAAATTGGTTTGCTACTGTTTAAGCTACACTGTTTAAAAAACAGCTGCTGCTTAATTGTAGTTTAGTTAGTAGCAGTGCTACTTTTAGTTAGCTTCTCCCACAACACTGACACTCACTCACACACACACACACACACACACACACACACACACACACACACACAGACCCAGGACTTGGACAGAACCCCAGTTCACCAGTCTATTTTATTTCAACCGATCACAACACTGACACTCACTCACACACACACACACACACACACACACACACACACACACACACACAGAGCCAGGACTTGGACAGAATTCCAGTTCAGCAGTTCCATTTATTGAAACCGATCTCATAATCCTCCTAATCCCCCTGCATTTTAATCTAAGATGTATGAATCACTTGAGAACATTATGTATGAGCAGTTATCTGATTGATCACTCGACTCAGGAAGAATTGTGGTAAGAACTGCATTTTTCATGCTGTCGTGAGTTTAAGTATATTTTGCATGTGCCGTAAAGTGCATTTCTCCAGACGTGGGCATACTGTGTCATTATAGACTGGCTGGGCCAAAATAAATTCCACAAATCCAACACCCCTAATCATTTTCAGATCAGCCAATAGGGTGTGTCCATGCGAATCCCAAAGCAGAAGAAATAAGCAGGAGCCTGGTTCACTTCCACACATGACACACAGGATGGAGGAAGGATGCATGCTGTAATCGGAGAATTAGTGAAGTGTGCCCAGCCGTGGGCCTGTGTGCGTGTGAGTGCCATAAATCAAGCGGAGACACGTACTGCTCCTCACGCCTCTTCTACAGTGTGTTTAATGGGCTCTTTACAGCAGGGAAGCAGTCGATCAGCACTTAGCAACCCGAATTTACTCAAGCCCAAACAAAAAGGGTTTCCATGGGTAGGAAGTGAAAAGGATTTAAAACTGTAAGTGCTCAGTGAGGGAGATCTGGATGAACTCTACAGGGATGAGACCAAGACAGCTCTATAAAACAACACTCTGCAGAAAAGCGTTTAAATATCTCTGCAGCTTAGCTTTAAAATATATCATAAAGTAGGTTTTATAAAATGCAGTAATTATATGGTATATGCCAGGGTTCCTCAAATCTTGCCCTGGAGGTCCAATGCGCTGCAGAGTTTAGCTCCAACCCTGATCAAACTCACCTACCTGGGATTTTCTAATGATCCTGAAGACATTGATTTGCATGCTCAGGTGTGTTAGATTAGGGTTAGAGCTAAACTCTGCAGGAAAGTGGATCTCGTGGGCCAGATTTGAGGATCCATGGAATATACTGTAAATAATTGTATTATATTAAATTGCTATATTTATATGAATTTGAGATTAATGCTGTATTGAAATTGCATAATCAATGGTATATTTCATTTGAAGTTTAAATTTGTAATACAGTTTAATAGGTTAAAACTTTTAAATGAATTGTTTTCTTTTCTTTTTCTTATTTGACCTTTCAATCGTTCATAAAAGCATGTTTTGCTCCTTTTCAGGTTATTTCAAGAAGTTCCCAGCACCTGGTGGACAGAGAGTTTGTAGAACAATACAACATGTGTTGGTGTAGGAGGGGGAACCTTTAGGGAGCGTAGAGAAAATGCTGACAGAGCGTTTGACAGATAGGAATTCATAAGCTTCAGTTTGGGCTGTGTCAGTTTGAAATCAAGCCTATTTATGAAAACACAACTGGGCCTTTCTGCAATTCTCTATGGTCACCCTGAAAGTGTGTTGCAATAAAACAATATTTTTGGTCACATTATGGAGTGTGATTTTCTTGATTTTAATTTCGAGATGCATCAATATTTTTTCTCCACAACCTGTGTTGTGTCTGTGTTCTGTGTTTCTTCTGGGTATTTCGTAAATACATTGAGTTTCTGCTGCTTGTGTTTCTCTTGCAGGATGATAAAGATCTGGTGCATGAGTTTGTGATGGCTGAAGGACTCACATGTCTTATTAAAGTGGGAGCTGAGGCTGACCAAAACTACCAGAACTACATCCTCAGAGGTACCACATCACCACACATGAATATATGTCATTAATTAACTACCAAACATATCAAACAAGGACTTTAGATGTTCAAAAGTTTGGGGTCAATGATTTTAAAAAAAATATATACTTTTATTCCGCAAAGATGCATTAAACTGAATAAAAGTGATAGTAAATGTCAAATAAATACAGTTTTAAAAACTTTGGATTCATCAAAAAATCCTGGTTAAAAAAAAAGCATTACAGTTTCCACAAAAATATTAAGAAGCACAACTGTTTTCAACATTAAAAATAATAAAACATTTTTCTTGAGCTCCAAATCAGATTAGAATGATGTCTGATGAATCATGTGACACTGAAGACTGCAATGGCTGCTGAAAATTCAGCATTGCTCCATCACAAGAATAAATTACATTTTAAAATATATTAAAATGGAAATCATTTTAAATTGTAATAATATTTCACATTGTTTTACTGTATTATTGAACATAAGAGACATTCAACCCCCCCCCAAAAAAAGTACAGACCCCAAACTTTTGTTGATATAATCTAATATAAGAAAATGTCAAACAGGGACTTCCTTTATCATTAACGAGTACAAGTTCAAATGAACTGCTAAATCAGAATTTTGAATAGATTTACTGAAATGGACCGTTTCAGCTGATATATGGAAATTATTAAGTCAATTAACCAACATTTTGAATTATATTTATTGATTTAATAATCTCTAAGACAGAGATGGCAAGTCTCAGAACAAGGAAAGATTGTGAAATTAGTCTAAAAACTCCACTAAAATAATTATAATATTAATATTATATAATAATTGTGAATATATTGTTAAAATTCAGTATATATCTCCAACTTAATTTATAGGATCAGCCGAATTGTTAGTTTAAAACAGTAATAAAATGAATGGATTTAAAATGATAATTGTAAATGCTTTTAACTATATGGTTTAGTATTAGTGTTCACTAAAATGTTTGTTGTGACTGTCTTTACATTATATCACTTTATAACTCCCAGCGATGTGACTACAAACCGCTAACACTATACCACAGTACCGAGCACCTATACATCCAAACCACATCACAAGGAGTTAAATTACTACAACACAATAAATGTTAGGCACCAAACATTTTCCACCCAGCACTATTAATTGGCAATAAAGCATCAGAATGTCTTCTTTTCCTCAGAGGGAGGGGTGCCAGGGGGGTTGCTGAAATTCGGTTTATGATCTGCAACATCCTGCCAGGACTTTTTATTGGGCGGTAAAGCATGTGGGCCCTGCCCTCTCGCAGTCGGCTGTGAAATACGGATTACCTCTCGCGGAGGGTTTCCAGCCCCCTTTAGACCTCCCCATTGGCCTCCAACCTCATCCCCAGGCAGAGGAAGCTCTTAGCAGCCTGTTAACATGCCTGACCTTTCACCTCACATGCATAGGGAGAATAAATTAGCCAGGGCAACCAGGAGCAACGTGTTTGTTAATGGCAATTATTGGGGTCAATGAACGGTGTGCGTGATGGTGCATTTCTGTGCTTGTTTTGTTTGCGAATGCGCACACGAGTGGTTACATCTGGGCATCTGAAGAATATTTGTGTGGCATACTCGTATGTTTAAGCTTGAGGGTATCAGCTTCTCTTTTTAAAAGCTTGTTTGTGCATGTGGGTGGCGGGGCGTCTGTGTGTATACAAATGTGTATACAAATACACAAAAGCAGAACATTACATTAGAGCCATATGAAGTACTGTACTTACTGGATGCATTGTTAGGAATCTAGTGTAAGCTGCTCTGGCCTGTTATTATTTTTATTCCTCACTTTGAATAGCTATAACTTTTTATCGCTATAGTAAAACAATTCCAGAACTTTGAATGCATAAAAGGTTCTGTGACTAGTTGGATGTTGTGTAATTATGGGATTGATGGGATGTACGGTCACCCAGCAATTATTCAAAATTTCAGCTCCGCTATGCCATTTTTAATGTAAAGACTTCACATGTAAGTCTTTTTCCTTGTGGGAAACAAATGTGCCTCAATGACCTATAAGTTTCACCTTTTTTAAAGGGTATTTTATATTTTTATCAAGAGTGGATCTTAGTTTTTATGAATGTCATTGTTGGAAGTGATTTTTATAAGTGCAAAATGAAAATAGAGTTTTTGTGTAATGATTGATAGTGGACAAGGAATATGAAGCGACAAGTATCCATGTGGAACTGCAGTATTACAGATAGAAATCAACCACATAGTTCATATTCAATCAGCTATATCAGTCAATTTTATATGTAATGAACAGATAAATCAATAAATCCATTTTATCTATATATATTATTTATGTGTATTATATGTATTATATGTAACAGTAAAAAGTTCAAAAGTTTGAGGTCTGCTTTTAAAGATTTAATTTTGTTTTCTTTCAGGCTCACCAAGGATTCATTGTATTGCAATAGATTAAACATGGTAATATTGTGCAATGTTATTGCACTTTAAAATAACTGTTTTCTATTTAAATATATTTTAAAATGTAATTTATTTCTGTGATGGCAAAGCTGAATTTTCTGAAGACATTACTCCAGTTTTCAGGGTCATATGATCCTTCATAAATCATTGCAAGATGATGATTTGGTTCTTAATAAGAGTAAACATCTCTTATCATTATTAATGTTAATGATACCATGATAATTTTTTTCAGGATTCTTAGATGAACAGAAATTTCAAAAGAACAGCATTTATTCAGAAATAGAAATAGAAATGTTTTGTCATATTGTAAATGTGCAATCTTGCTGAATAAAGCAAGCGTAGCATTAGTTCTGGCAGGTCATGTGAGTCAAGTTTGCATCAACTGACTCTCAGCTGATCCACGTCTACCTATAGGAATACGATGTCTATTACAGCATTACTACATAAGGTCTATTCAGTATTATTCAGCAGCTTTATCGCTTGCTCATGAGCTAATTACCCTCCTCCATCCCCAGCTCCACCTTGCATTTCAGTCAGGACTTGGCTTTCTGATATTCCTTGTCTTCTTGAATCAGACTCCTTTTATCTTGAATGATGCTGTTACACTAAAATGTAATTTAGAACATTAATGATATATTTTTGTTCTGTTTGGTTTATGCTAATTCATTCATGAGGCACTGCAGGGATGGGCAGAGAGTTTTTACCCAGAACAGAACCACACTGCCAATCCAAACTCTATGCTAAGTGTTAATCGTTTTGACGATAGTGGGCCTGACAGAAAAGGTTTTTTTTTTTCAGAAAACGTTTTTTGACCCCAAACTTTTAAGTGGTTGTTTATGTTTTTTGATTGTTTGTTGGTGCAAAAAGCTACATGAATTCAGTCTTCGTGCTCTGTGGGAGGGCTCAAAGTGATTTCTTTACTGGCCGCTGCTTGTTTATAGTCAGAGCAGTTGGATTTTCAGGGTCAGGGACTGACGACAGACACCTAAACACTAAATCCGCATGTTGAGACTTACTGGCAGTCTGTACGATTTACAGCCTGTCCGCAATGATAGCGGCTTTCTGTAACACAAAAACAAAGCTACACATTGCTCCCTATAGTATAATATTTCAGCTAGCCCAAAATGGAAATACATTTTGTGCATTTGAAGGAACGACTGGTACAACAGTTATGCTAGACCTTCAATACAGAACGTCAAAGTATTTTTCTCAATGTGAAAGTTCTTCAGGTGTTTTATATAGTGAAATAGGCAGTAACAGTGTGGCTATTTCTTTTTAGACCTCCACATTTTATTTCCTAGTTTCCACACCCATATGATTCATGCTGCTGCTATGCTTTTATGGACTCTCAGTAAGTCTCAGCACACCTTTGGGTAACAGGATGCCATAATTATCTCAAACTGAGCATGCATGCTTCTCTAAAGGTTTGTCATGCATCCTTATATTTACAGCTAAATTAGTTTCGATGTAAAACACACAGTTGAAATGAAGTTGCATTGTCCTGGTGGGACCTGATTTCAGTGTGTTTACTTGCAATCAGTGCTTGTGCCCTGGTTATAGGTTTGAACCCACATTGACACAAACAACCCAGTTGATTAAGACGCCAAATGCCAAACTCCCATCTGGGACAGCGAAACTGAAAGAGAATGAGAGATACAGTGAGAGAGATCAAGAGGATGATGATGATGACAAGCTGTCTAAATTATAGCTTCAATCCATTCCCGCTCATTTGCACTTTGTTTACTTCATTTGACTCTGTTTTTGGTGTTTTTGTGCGAGTTGGTTGTTTGTTTGGAATGGATTGGTCTGGCTGTGGGAAAGAGCTGCTGTTGTAGCCTCTCTTCTCTGCAGCATGGCTGTAACCTGGCTTGCAGATGACCTAGTTTCTCATGACCAGAAGAAGAAACACACGCTGCTGTGTTCTTTTTTCCCCCCAATGTTCTTTTGGGGAACATGCACACATGTATACTGCAGACCACACTGAAAATGTTTTTTTTTCATCTAAATCTGGAAATAACCAAAATGGTTTCTAGACTGAAAGTTTTGGTGACATTTAACATGTTTACAGCTCCACTCAGCAGTTTAGTTTATGTTGCGCTGGCTGATAAGGCATTTTTGTCTAACACATACTGACACCTAGTGGTGTGGATGCAAAAGACAGCAACGCAACTGATACGTTCAAGGCCCAGAAAGGTAGTAAGGACATAGTTAAAATAGTCCATGCGACACCAGTGGTTCACCCTTAATTTTATGAAGCTACGAGAATACATATAAATAAATGCATATAAATAAATTTAGACCACTTAACTTAGTGATTGCTTTCGGGATGTGAAGAGACCTTCAACCAACATAACAAAAAATGTTTTTGAACTAAATCACCTACCCTGTCTTTAATTTATGTTTAGAAGATTAATGAAAATCTTACGGGTTTGGAACGAGATGAAGGTGAGTAATTAATGACAGAATTTTCATATTTTTCATAAGTTTCCGAATGGTCATGTGATCTCAAAATGGCTGCCCTCAATGAGGCGCCCGGGTCCACGTAGAATAAAACAGAAAATTGT